CCCCAAAACCCCAAAACCCCAAAACCCCAAAACCCCGAGAGGGTAATTTTGTTGTTGAAGTAAATGCAATTTAAATTTGAAAAAATAAAATATGAACCAAGAATATTATATGAACAATCATCAATAATTGGAGGATACCCCTGATTACAACATCAATAATGGGGATTATGGAGATGATAACTATTTACCATAGGAAGGAACCTAATAATTTGAAAACTTCAACAGCTTTAATGAAAAGTAATCTAACTTTTCAGATCTCTATAGCCCTAATCACAGAAATGATATTCATTTGATGACAAATCAAGATTTTGGAAATAGAAATATTGCATCAAGAGTCAATACCTCTGCTCCTAGGACAGATAACAGTATGACAAACATGAACCCAATGCAAACATAGGATGATTCAAGGTTCATGAATATGCATGATAGGAATAGATCTAATATCACTACTTAATCTCAAAAGTATTAGCAAAATGTAGCTAAAAATGTCATATACAATAATTATCAATTAAGTCCTCAATCAAGCCAAAAATACTTGCATGAACAAAATGGGTTATATACCAGCCATGTAGCATAAAAAACTCCGAATAGAAGAAGAAGTAGTGGAAAGAAAGGGGCTTTAGATAGATCCAATTCAGCTAGTAGATCAAGATTAACAAACAAAACAAATAATAACATTCAAGGAGGAGGCGGATTACTTGCCTCTCCATATTCACCTGAATCAATGATGACTAGAAATCCTATTTCTCTAGACAATTTTGCTAATTAAGCTGATGGCATCGATGATAACCAGAGTGCTCTCTATAAAGAATATGATAAGTGTGGTAGAACTCAGAATGCATTTATGCAAAGAGCTGCTTTTGCTGGTATTAAGCATTTGCACACAAACAGCTATAAGAGTTCAAGTCCACTTTAGATGATATAAAGCAGATTCCCTGAAAAATATCATGGATAAAACCCAAGCATGAGTCAACTTAACAATACTTAATACTAATAAGAGTAATTATAGGATGAAACTTATGAACAGAATGAAAATGAAGGTGAATTAACATCACAGTAGATCATTCAAAACATGTTTTAGTTTAATCAATAATAATAGAACGATATAACAGCTATCTAGCATGATTAATCAGATCTGAATCAATCCTTATAATAAGTACTTAGCATAGCAGATGGACTCTTTCTTATTGAAGCAGGTTTTTAAGCTATAAGTGAAACAATATTAACGACAATAGGGTCCATTGAATAATGGTCATCGTTCTCACTTGAGGACAAATTATTACAATTTGCAAGTTTCCTATCAAATATGCGAAAAGACTTGAGATTGGGAGGAGTCGTGGGTGTTTACTTAGTATTCAAAAATAATTTTATGCATATTGGAGAGGAGATCAAGAGAGTAATAGTTGAAGAATTATTTACAACCTTATCTGAATTTGAAACTCAAGAGGATATTTATATGCTTTGTGTTTTAGAGGTTATCGGTATGATTGGACCATTTGAAAGATCACTCTCGAGAATTGGAATTATAAAAGGTATTTTATGTGAACCATCACTTAAGAGACTTTAGTTAGCATGCTTTTGCAGTTTGATCTAACTAGGATTTGAAGGATTTTAAGCAATAATTGAACTAGCTTCCAAAGACTACAATAGCCTCTAATCTTTTCTACTCTCAAACTTACTTCAAGTGAGAGGAATTCAAAGAATCATTCTAGTGCCATCTATTTTAACTCAGCTAAATATGAGTGAGAGTATAAAAAAACAAGAGTGTGTTGCCTTGCTAAACAGAATGGGAACTTTAGTGTGGGAATCTGGTGGATTACCAATTATTCTTGAACTATTAGAAGAAGGTATAGTAGATAGATAACTCTTAGCAAGTGTCCTAAGAACAAGCGGCGATGAGGGAGAAGACCTACTTTTAAAAATTGTGAAATTCCACAAGGATTATAAAGTAAGAATGGCAGCAGCATCAGTCTTATCCTATCGTTTACCTGCAAATCAAAGATTCCTCGAGGTTGAATTAAGACTCGACTCTAATGATGTGGTTTAACTTGATGCCATTCCACCTGGAAAAATATGTAGATATAATGGGCCAATCAGCTCAGTAATATAAGATGAGCAGAGTAAGAATGAAAATGAAAAAGTATTTTAAGAAAACTGTTATGTAGAAATAAACTCTAGAGACTTCTTAGCTTCATTACAAAGAATGATAGCAATGAGCAATGACTACTTCATCTAATAGTTTGACAATGAGGAAGAGAGAAATTAATTAGTATAACTTGATGAAGCTAGATATCTGCAAAAACTAAACTTTCAGACATTGAATTGTACTCTAATTTAAGACATTTAGGTGTACAGTTATAACAGCAATCCTTACAGTAATACTTACTCATCTATTTACTAAAAATAAGAAAGAAGAGCTGTGTCAGATTAAATAATCAAAACTCTAGCAAACCAACTAATTAAAGAGGACAAGGCCTAAGTAAGAGAAGTAATAGCTGCGGCAATAGGCACAGTTGGCTTGCCTGAAGGCGAGTATTGTGTCGACTAGCTGATTAAAAGTCTATCAATTCCTGATGAAGATCCAAATGTAAAAGCTATGTGTGTCTGGTCTTTGGGCAGATTAGCTTCTCCCATAACAGGGCATAAAGCTAAAAAAATACTTGTTTAGGCCTTAAGGGACTCTTATTGGAAGGTAAGAGCTGCTGCATGTACTGCCGTTGCCCAAATTGGAGAGCCTGTGGCCTAATAGACTATTCCAATTCTAACTAAGTTACTAAGAGAAGGTTAGGTTAACAGGTAAACAGTTGCTGAAACTATAATAAATGTTGGAGTGCTAGGTGAACAGACTCTTGTTTAGATTCTGAAAAGTGAACCTGAAAATAATCATAAACTTAGAGAATGCATTGTGAGAGCCCTAGCATTAGCTAATGTTGGAAATCCCAATATTGATTTTGTAATTGAGGTGCTATTTCAAACTTCAAAGGATAAAAACGCTTCTGTCAGGAAAAGCAGTTTACTATCACTAGATATCCTGCACAAGAAGACTATCAATGATTCTGTCACCTATCTCAAGGCCAGGCATTTACTGCCATTCTTCTATAGATGCCTAAATGACAAAGATAAACAGGTCCGTAACTGCGCACTCCTCTGCATCTAAAACTTCGGTCCTCAGGGTGAATTAATGTTTATCGAGGGTCTGACTAAAGACAAGAACTTTTAGATAAGATGTGAGTGTGCCAATGGTCTAGCATAAATTGGACCATCTACTTTTAGAACACTATTGCTTTCTTTGCATGACTAAAACCCAGCAGTCAGAGACTCTGCTAGTTAGGCAATTATCAAGCATATGAGACCTGAGGATGTAGATGAGGCATTTAAGGGTAAAGAACATCAAAGAACTACCATCAAATGTGCAATTAGGGAGGTACTGAGCAACAATCTCATTCTTACTATTGACATTAGAAACTACTTAAACAGATTGCAAATACTGTTTGAAGAAGGTAACCTAAATCAGCAATTACTGAATGGAGATTTCAGTGCCTATCAATTTGGAAATTATGCAGGAGGCTCATAAATACTCCAGCCAATGAATAAACCCAATAATATGTACTATCAGTCCAATCCAAATAACAAGGAAAATAGAACTGGCTAATCTCAAATTCAATAAGTTGGCTGGATCAAGGATAAGCATTCACAGCAGTATCATTAGATAAGAAAGAATCCAATGGGTAATAGCAGTTCTTAGAATCTCTAACTGTCAGTGACAGGTGCTTTCAATGCCAGTGGAGTTTCAAGTGGGATGAACAATCAGCTGGTCCAGAGTAAAAGATTATTGCACTCAAACACTAAACCTATTGAATAAAAAAGTAGGCAGGATTCTTACATGAGAAATTTGAATCAGAATTTTTCAGAAAACAACGTAAGCATGCCCTTCTCTAAGTATCTGTGAGCAAATAATAAGTGCTAATAGAAATTGATTTGATCCTAATTAAGAATCAAATGAATTAGTATATAATAAACATAAATAAATGATTACACTAATTACTTTTCATAATATTCAAGATCATTAGTTTATCTGTGGGGTTTTGGGGTTTTGGGGTTTTGGGGTTTTGGGGTTTTGGGG